TAATCTGGTGCTTTCATTAAGTTATCGGGATGACTTTGCTCTGCAATGTCACTGTCAGCTCCAGTGAAATATTTCATTAGCTTGAGTGTGACTGTTTGGCAGTTGAATATAAGTGTCTCAGAGCAACAATGAAATCATACTCACAATGTTCCTGAGTGCCAGGCATGCCTAAGAGCTTTACATGCATTCATTAATGTGATCATCTCAACCTTATGAAGTAGATGCTATCAATAGCCCCATTTTAAAGAAGAGGAAGTGGAGATACAGAGGTTCAGTAACTTGCCCAAGATCTCACAGTAGGTGGCAGGGCTGAGAATCAGACCCAGCTGGTCTGGCTTCATGAATCTGTTCTAAATCAGCATGCGATTGTTCTTCTTGGCCTGAAGCAGCCATGTTCTCTTCTTGCTTTTTTTAATGCCTTGGTAGGCACAACTTGTTCTGAATTTTCACCCTAGTCTCCTTTTCTCCCCCAAGTTACAGAGTTCCCTTAAATAGGATGTGATTTTTACTTGCCTTCCACTGTGAGACTTCTCTCTGCACCCACAAAAGCTATGCTGGAGGTGGGGGGGAGGTGGTCTCTTGGAGAGTGGCAGTGATGGAGGAAGGCACAGTTATGTTTTTCTGATGGGTCAGTGGCAAATGAGCTGACAAATACTTATGAAAGAGAAGACCTTTCTCTCCTTACATACAAGTTGGGGATAGGCAATTCTCTATAACTAACTATATGGATTTGGAGAAATTCAGCCCAAAATGTGGTCTCTCTAGGTCTTCTGGTTTTGTAGAGTTGTGTTGCTTCTCTAAGAGCCACAGATATCAAGTAGGTAAGTAACTTTCAGACATTTGCTGGACCCATTGGGCCACCACAATGAGCTATAAAGCAGAGGGTTTTACCCCTGGCTTAGAAGAAGGCCTTTTGATTTTTTTTTCTTTATAGAGAGACACAAAAAGGGAGCCACAAATCTGCTTTCTTTCTAGGAAATAGTAAGATAAACTTTAATCTCAGGTGTTTTCTTCAGGTACCACCAATATGTCCACCCTGATTCTTATGTTCCAGACAGAGAGAGAGGAAAGAGAGAGAGGGAGAAGGGAGGGGAGGGAGGGCCGGGAACAGCAAGAAGGCATGTTCAGAAACTTTGCTCCCGGTGACAACTTAACTGGAATATGTAGCAACATCAGCATATCACATATTTTCTAATGTGCATATAAGTGGTGGCCTGTGGCTTAAAAACATCATCTAAGAAAACCTTCCAAATATAATGCTTAACCTGAAATGATCATTTGACTACATAAACCTTTCTGATGTTGCCAAATAGGGTTGGTTTTTCGCATTTGAACTGGGTGCGTGGGCTTTTCCCATGAAGCTTGTGAGTCATTCATGAACACACCAGATATTTCCAGCTAGCCAACCAGCCAAAGGATTCATTTCCTATAAAGACATTTGATTACAGTGTTGAAACAGTGCATTCCAGGCTTGCTTGCATTGATACTCAGCATGGCATTGTGTCATGGATGCTGGTTGCCTCAGCCTACAAATTCTTCCTAGTGTGGATGGTGCTCTTCTCTTCTCTTCTGGGACACTTTCTGTTTCTCCTGAATTTTAATCTTTTTCCCCCTCCTCCTTATTTGGAGAGGGCACTTGCTTTAAAAATTTTTTTTTTATCAGAACTTGCATTTTAAGTCAAAATGGACAGAATTAGGATAGACCTACTCAGGAAATGAGTAAGACACTTTTCTCCATCATTTGGTAAATGGAAATTATGGGAATTAATAAGAAGAACCTGCCATCATTAGCTTCTAAAGAACTTAAATATCTTATCAATAGCATCTAATTGCCTTTTTAAAAAAGACATCAGAGAGAGAAGGAATCGGGGGATATTATTTCTGGTGTTATTTCCCATTTACAGATGCAGAAGGCAAGACAAAATAAGGTGAGTAACATCAGGGATTGTAAGAGAAGCTGAAGATATTAGATTAGAAAATCTCTGGGTCCACAGAGAAGTCAAATGATACTCCTAAGAACTAGAAAGGAAGGTCACTGCCTGCTGGTCCAAGGTTGTTTTCCATCAGACCCAGTTCCAGCACTGTCTACTCCAGATGTGGTGGGGAATGAGAAGCAGAAGAAAGAGCACTGGATTCTCTCACTGACTGTGTCATCGTAGACCAGTCCCCTTTCTCTCTGGGCCCCAGTTTCTCCATCTCTGACAAGAAAAAGGCCATTAGATGCCATCAAAAATCTTTCTAATTTTCAAAGAGATATTAGCACTCCCATGTTCATTGAGGCGTTATTCACAATAGCCAAGAGGTGGAAACAATCTAAATGGATTGTTTGATGATAAATGGATAGAAACGAACATGAGATGTATATGTATGTATGTATGTATATGTATATGTGTGTACACACACACGTAATGGAATAGTATTCAGCATTTAAGAAGAAGGACATCTTGCGATATGTGACAACATGAATGAACCTTGAGGACATTATACCAGTGAAATAAATCAGTCACAGAAAAACAAATAATGCATGATTCCATTTATATGAGATATGATATGATTCCACTTATATGAGACATGAGATATATCTAAAATAGTCAAACTCAAAGAAGCAAAGAAGAGAAAGGTGGTTGCCACAGAAGGAGGTTGCTTGGGGGGAGGGTAAAGGTAGAGTTGCTAATCAAAGGGTATAAAATAAGTTCTAGAGATCTGCTGGACAACATTGTGCTTATAGCTAACAATACTGTATTGTTCACTTAAAAATCTGTTAAAGAGTAGATCTCATGTTAAGCATTCTTATCACAATAACATAAAGTTAAAAAATAAAACTCACTTAGTCTATGAATTTATGGACAAAAAGACTGACCAATGCTAATATCATAGACTCCTTAGATGGTCTCTCACTAGAAGCAGTGACAAGCAGGCTAGAGAACAGTTCTTTGAAGAGTTGAAAAAATAATCTCTTGCTACTGTGAATTGTTTCCATTCTTGGAGACTGATTATAGAATGTATCCGGTGCTATTTTAACCTTCTAAGGAAATCAAGTACTTAACATTCAATCTTATTATTGAATGTTTCTGGTTTCCAATTAGGGGACAAAACCTCTCTTCTGCCTGGTCTTATACAGCCTTTTACTATTATTATTCCATTTAATCCCTCCAGTGAGTCAGGACCTACATTGTTATGTCCCTTTTACTCAAGGTCATACACATAGACTGGGGTGAGACTCTCTCCTAGGGCTTCTGAGTGCAAGCCCCCTGCTCTTCCCACATTTCCCTCCTTCAGTCTGAGATGGTATGCTGTGAAGTGCTACCAGGGGTAATCTGGGCATTCAGATGGGAAGGAAGTTATCGATAGGAAAGAGATCATTCTGGGAGTTCTGCATTCCACTTGCTCAGTAAAAGTTGCTACTTGTCTGGAGGAAGTGACTGCTGAGCTGTGAGTTAAATGATGCTTTTGTCTTTGCTGTGGGCACCAGTCATCAACTGATATCTGATATAGACCTTAAGACTTCAGAAACCTTTTACTGAATAGAATTGCAGGCTTGATGACAGGAAGATCTTGTTCTGTTCTTTTTTCAGCCCTCAAAGCCAAGCACTATTAAAACTCCCCAAATCATGAGTGGATAACTACATTTATGGGGAAAGAATTTTGACATGAGATAATAACACAGTTAAGTCCAGGGCTGTAGTTAAAAGCAAAGCTTATGTAAAAATAACATTTGCATCACGCTCTTCAGTGTACCAAGTAGCATGACATAAACAATTTCATTTGATCCGCACAACAAACCTGTCAAGTAGCCGTGGTCCTCATTTAACAAATAAGGAAATTAAATTAGATGAAAGCTAAATGTTTTGCCCAGGGTCCCAAGAGACTAGTTTAGGACTTAAGGTCTTTTGACTCCACATTCTGTATTTGATCTGTAATTATTTACTAAGACTTCTGGAAATGTCAAATAACTTTGTAGGGATTGACTGAAACCCTCTGTGACCCTACTGTGAGAAGCTCTGATAATGGCCAGTACATACATGGTATCTTCTCACTTGAGACTGTCTCGTGCTTGCAAGCAGCAATTACTCAATGATTACTTTTCTGCAAAGTTTGTGGGATCAATTCCATTTCTCTCTGATGGATAGGTTGAAGGAGGAACCTAAGCTATGTTTTCATGGTCATCAGTCCCAGGGAGATGGAGGAACAGGGTTATGGCGTGAGAGTTCCAGCTCCATGTCCCTTGTTAAACAGTCAGAAACAACTCCCATTCCCTAAAGAGTGGAAAGAGAAATAGCAAACATTTAATGAAAGGATCCATGTTATTTCTTCAAAATGCTCTAGATTCACTCCCCCAACTCTTCCTAATTCTTGTTGAAAATATTTGGAGAGCTCAGTGGTTACAACGTTTTGGAGAACACCGACATCTTCAAAAATAGCTTGGGGGAATGTAAAGTATGTGAGTATGGATAACAAACAGCAGAGTTCAACAGGGGTCAGACTCATGACTATTCAAGGAAACAAAACATTAAAGATCTTTTCCCCTATTCATGCTGTTCCTATATAGGCTTCTTTCTATAGCCAAGGAAGGATTTTAGAAGGGAAGGTCGCAGCTTCTCACCTCATGTACCTTGGCCAAAAACAATCCTAGAACTTGTCTGACTGGCTCTAGTGAGGAATATAAGTAAACAAGACCTGAGTAAACAAAAGAGAAACCTGCCTATCACCTGTGGAGTCAAGTAATGTAGGGCACCTTCCTGGGAACTTACAAATCAGTGCCTGTCTCTCAGAGAAATGGGTAATGTGCTTCCAGAGAAATGTCATTTATTATCATGTCGATAGCAATGACTTAGGGAAGAATCGGAGGAATACAAGGTATTCTATCTAGCAATGCAGACCCATTGTGGTAGTAAGAAACTAAGTACCTTAAGGGGCTGGGGACTTTTTAAGCCTTTCTGGTAGGAGCAAGTATTGACCTCTCTTTCATGAATGAGGGTCATTTTCATCACCTTGGGATGTTAAACTCTGACAGTTCTGATGATGAAGCAAGGCTGCACATGCTCATGAGAAGAAATGATTTTGCCATCCTTAATCTCCTGAGTGATGGTGCAGATTTTAACCAGTATTCGGGGCAGGACTCTGTAGGCACTGCAGGGCTCATGTGTCCCGCGGGGAGCTGAGGATGATGTACTGTAAACTGGGGCTGTGCATTCTATGGCACTGGCCTTACTGGAAAGCTCACATTTGGTGGCACACAGGTTACAGGGAAGCCTAGAAAAAAACAGAATTTTACCTGTGATTGAGGGAAGGGAATGATGGTGATGGAGAACAATAGCGGTGGGTAATTTTTCAACATGTGTCCCTCAAAACAAGTACTCCCAAATGCTTATTCATTCATTTTGTTCTATCGTTAGGGAAAGAAAAAGAATGAGAACAGAACCATGGGAAGGCAGCATCTTAGGTTTAGAAGCATTAGATTATGTAAGCTTCCACTGCATTGTGGAAGAACACCATGCCAGGAGTTGAAGACCAGGTGCAGCCCAGCTCTGTCACTTACCAGCTGGTGACCTCAGATAAGTCAACAAACCCTCCTGAGCTTTAGTTCTTCATCTGCAGACTGGGTATAATGGGAACTAAACTTACAGGGTCAGCAGTGAGAAGGGCCAAGTTGAGGGGCTTATTATCTGAGGAAAAGAAGTTAATCCGATATTTTTCTTATCAGCGAGTCACAATACTACTGGTGGCACGAACCCCATCTATGGAAGAGTCCTCAGTGCTTTATCTGGAAGCTTCAAAGTGCCTTCTGGGAATATTTAAATGAAACTTTACAGAATTGGAGTTGGAAGCAGTTAACAGAACTCTTTATAGAAAGCATCATCTTTCTTTGATGATTCAAGACACTTTAGTATATTGTAGTTCCTCATAAGGACTAGCTATGGTTAACCTTGTGCTAGTATAATGTGGCAGTTAAAATGTGCCAGTTAAAAGAATGCTGTGAACAGAGCTTACTGACTATTTTGGGGAAGAAGGTCTCCGTAACAATTGTAACTGAGTCTGCATCTGGGCATTACTTTGGACTGAGTTGCTTCCTCTAAAGAGTTGTGCTCTATCTGGGTCAGTTCCTTATGAGTTGGTTGGCTTCTTATCATTGGAAAGCATTACAATTTCTACTTTAAAAATGATGCTAAAACACACATATCTACATGCTGTTGTTGGCATCAAGGACACGTGGCTGGACAAGGATGGGCATTTCAGCCTGAGCAGAATGTTCCTCCGAAGGGAACAGGGTCATCCTATTCAATCTCATGAAAGTTCATCTCAGTGGGGGAAAATCTAAGTCACCAGGAATATTTGAATATTTGGGAAAACCATTTTTCCCCTTGTACTTTAAAAAACTCAGCATACAAGGAATTAACCTGGCACACTGGCTCTTCAAAATGACCCAACTCAGCTAAGACCTCAAATTTGGACTAGGCTACAATTGTAGGTCTCCAAACAGCACAGCTTGAGACCATACATCACAAGTTTCCATCACTGGCAAGAAGATCAAAGCACACGCCCCCTGTTGCCAGTGGCAGTATTACATGTATGTGAGCATATTTCCCAGTAGAAGCTGTTTTTTATTTTACTTACTTGACATCTGAACTCTCCAGAAGGCTGTGGTATGTGGCAATCTCACACTCCAGCCGAGACTTGACATCCAGCAGAATCTCGTATTCTTGGTTCTGTCTTTCCAGGGCACACCGGATCTCTGCCAGCTGAACCTCCACGTTATCAATGAGACACTGGATCTGGGCCAGTAAGGCTGTGTAGCGGGCCTCTGTCTCCACCAGGATGCATCCCTGGGAATCTCTCTACCATGGAGGAGGAAAGTAGGGTTTATAATGATGACTCGTTGGAGCCTAGGTCACTTGTAAACTGCATCATTTTAAACAGTGGTTTCTTTGTGACAGGTACTAATGAATCTCCAAACCCTCTTATTACTTCCTAACCAAATAAATCCAAAACCAAAATTATCAACTATGCTAAAGCTCGCTTCCCTTTATCCTCTTTACTTAGTTTTGCCTCCCTTTAAGTATTTACTTCTTTCTTAATCACCTAATAATATCCTACCACACTCTCCTACCTGTGAGACAAAAAAATATTCCAACTTATTTTACACCTGGGCTTTAAGAACCTGTTACCATGGCACCTAAAAAAGAAGTTAGCAGCATTTAGCCATAAACAATTCTTTCACTGAGTCCATTCCTTTATATCTAAAACACAAGAGTTGAAACTTTGATGATTAAAGTTCTTTCCTGCTCCATCATTCTGTAAGTCTACGGATAATGGAATTTTAGGTTTGAATAACTATTATTTGCATGGTTTTCCCAATTTTTAGAGAGGAGAAAACTGAGGTTCAAGGGGTTAGGTGAGTTGCCCATGGTCACATGACCAGCTGGTGACAAAACCAGCTTTGGGGCAGGATCTCCCAAATACCCTTCACATCAGAGCATTTAAATAATTCCCTACTTCAGAGACGCAGTACAATGAGGCAGAGGTGGTTCCAGCTTTGGAAACTGAATTCTGGTTCGGACTCATTTCTTCTGTGACTTTTAACAAGTTACTTAATGCCTCAGGATCTCAGTGTCTCCATCTCTATAAAGTAGGCAAGATGGAACTCACCTGGGATTTGGCGTGGGAAAATCACTTTAGCTCCCTGAGCCTCAACTGAAAAATTGGATTACTAATTATGCTACCTTCTTTATAAAATTATTTTATTAATTTGGTAGTTTGTAAAAATGTTTTGCATGTAATAAAATGCTCCCTTAGTGTTTCCCAAAGTGTACTCCATGGATCATTATTGCCATGACATGCTCTTTAAAAAAGGGGTCCAGAGTCAAATAAGTTTGGAATGCTGAATACCCTATATCTCCTTCTTGGAGATCTATAGTGCATATTAGCTTATTAAAGACCTGCAGGAAGGTACCCTGTTGAACCTATGTTTACTCCAGCTTTTCCCAGGCTTATTTGACCGCAAGCCCTTTTTTGGCTATAGACCCTTTAACAAACAGAGGAACTTCTGAAGGACACAATTTGGGAAACATTGCAACATGCAGGTGTCAGGGGCTATTGCCATCACTGCTGTGTTAGGCTTGGTCAGCTTGCTGGGTACCATTCGGTGCTGGGCCTGCAGTTCAATCTCCAGGGCATTCACGGTGCGTCTCAGTTCAGTGACCTCCTTCAGGCAGCACTGCTGCTGTTGAGAGCTGGTCACCACCTGCTGGTTCAGCCCCTCCATCTGAAACACAAAGACCATGAATATTCTGAAGCAAAACGTGACTTTGATTAACAGGCACCTGGAAATGCAATGTTGACTTTTTGGTTTTGACTTTTCTACCCTCCCCACCTGCATGTTGAACCATTGTTCCACTTCTCTGCAGTTTGTCTCCATGATGGACTCATACTGACATCTCATTTCTTGTAGAACCCGGTTTAGATCAACCGAAGGGGCAGCGGTCACTTCAATGTTGAGTCTGTCCCCAAGCTGGCTCTGTAAGGAATTGATTTCCTATGGAAAGAAAAAGAATGTGAAGTCACTTGGTGAACAGATGACACCCTTGTGTTCTTGTTTGTCTAACAGCAATAATTTAGCTTAATTGTATCTGAAATGTAGCTCACAATAAAGGAATAGATGATTTATAGGTGCTATTGAGATGCTATAAAATGACCTCAGGCTATTTCAGATATGACTCTGTGTTCAAATATGTGGAACATTAAAAGGAATTAATTAGTAAGATCAGAGTCTTAAGGAATTTAGATCATTTCTAGGGATGGGTAATGGTGAAGCAGCAGAGAGGTAGAATTTATAATAAGAGACCATAGTCTCTATGACACCAATATGGGCTTTTGCCAATCGGACTTATAGCAATAGTGGCAGAAGTCTGTGTTAGGGACGCCTTCAAAAAGATGCGAAACCCGTGAGGACAGGAGAAAGGTTGTTTCCTTCTCCTGGAAAAGCTGGAGAGGGCAATGGAGGCCTCAGATACTGTGTTATAGGCGATGGATTTGAAACACATGGAGCCAATGGTAGTAGCTGAAAAGCAGAGTAGTATCTACTTTTTGGAGACACCTTTTGCCAAGTTCAACTCAAGGGAATTACTGCAATTTTTAGAGGCTTAGCTTGTAAGGACTCTCTTGGTTTTTCTCTAACCTCTTCATGGTTGTGTTTGAGGCAGAGGAGCTCCTCCTTCAGAGACTGGACTTGTGCCTCCAGGTCAGCCTTGGCCAGGGTCAGCGCATTCAGGATCTGCTGTAGGCCTTTGGTGTCTGCCTCCACCAGCTGGCGTACAGACACCTCAGCTTCATACCTTTAAAAATGAGACATAGAAAGAAAGGCATTAAAATGCAGATGGTGTAAGTCAAGCCAAGCAGAACTCCCTTCCACATTTTCCTTTGGGCCTCTCATTTATTATATTTCTGAGGTGGGTTTTATTCTCTTTAGAGGTGAGATCACTTGATAAGCATCACCATGTGATTATTATTCCTTAATCAGTTTGCCGGCCTGAGGCCATATTGCTGTTCTTTGAGATAAGGGAATTTCTCCTCCTTCCCCTGCCTCTAGAGGCAATGCAGTAGATGTGGAAAGAGCAATGGATTAGGAGTTAGAAAACTCGGATGCACATTTTAGCTATGTTTTGTCCTAGTTGTATGTCTTTGGATGTAACTGAACCCCCTCAAACCACAGTTTTCTTGTCTTAAACAAGGCAACTATATATTAGCCCTCCCTATTTTCCTGAATTACTGTGCAGGTAATCAGATGGGTTCTTACGTTAGAAACTCTAAGTACTGTTCACATGTGAGTGGTTATTAATCTTTATCATTTATTGAATGTGAAGGTTTTTTTTCTGGACTGGTGCTGGTATGGTACGGATCAGGAGGTTTAGCAGATTTGGGGATAATCTTCTTGGGAGTGTGTAGTCAGAAGTGGGGTGAATTCTGTCGTGAATGACAGTGCTGGGTGGGCTTACTTGGCTCTCAAGTCATCAGCAGCCAGTTTGGTGTTGTCAATTTGTGAGACCAGTCTGGAATTCTCAGCCTTGGTACACAAGATCTAGAATTAAGAAATTGTACACACAAATGAGACAAACACCAGGATCTCCTTCTTTAAAAACCAAGGGCTTGTGTGTATGGCAATTAACCGGGGCGGGAGGGGGGCAGTTAGGCTTTTCATAGCTATACTTAGGAAGCTTGGGAAGCTTTGGAAAGTCCGAGTTTTTGTTATTTTCCTAAAAAAATCAGCAAAAACCACTCCAATAAAAACGCTTGTATATGTTTTACTGTTAAAATATAAAATCTGCCCTTAAAATTTGCCTGTTCTGGAATGTAACTGCCATGAGGGCAAGGACTTTTTAGCTCACTAATATTTTCCCAGAGCCTAGAGTAATGTCTGGTGTCTTACTGGTGGTGTTTGGTAAATACTTGTTGAAGAAATAAAACGGAATAAATCTAGCATGTACAGTAGCAGCAGCACGTGGCTCTGATCAGGAGCTAGGCTCGGTGTTGGAAGAAACCATTGAAACAATTTGGAGATGATGAAATGAGCATGAAAGGGAGAAACAGTGGTGATGGTAGCAAAATGGGTAAAACATAAAATAATTCCTAAACTGTTTAGGAACTTATTAAAACAAAACGCTCTTTCTCAGATCCCCATTTTCTTATTTTTGTTAAAGAAATGGCAGCAATAGGCTGTTGACATATTTTGGCACATGTTGACAAACTTGTAACACAGCAGAATGTATCTCTGGAAGATGAGTAAGTATAAAACTCTGAATATCGCCTCAAGATGACAATTTCATTCAAGAGATTTTCTTTTTCTACAAAATATGTTTTTCCAGCATAAGATGAACTAAAAATATTAAGGTTTAGCAAATGGCTATGGCTTGGAGAGTGTCATGACACGACCTGATTATACACGTTCCTAAGAATCTTACCTTCTGCTGGAGCTCCTCAATGGTGGCATAGTAGGACACGTAGTCAGGACATACAACACAGAGCTCTTTGTTACACTCTTCCTGGATTTTGCACTCTAGTTCAGCATTCTCTTGTTCCAAGATCTGCACCTTCTCCAGGTAGTTAGCAAGGCGCTCATTCAAGATTTGCATGGTCTCTTTCTCATTACTGTTGATGCCTTCACTGCACCAGCTGCAGTCATCCAAAAGGGGACAGGTATTGAAGTTGCTTATTAAGCAGATGGGTGTGAAGTAAAAGCAAGGAGTGGGTCTGGCAGCCCTCAGAACATGGCCAGTTGGTTGGCTGCTGTTGGCTTCAAGACCACCATGTTGGCAGCTGGTATTAGAAGAAATGGTCCGAAAACTTGTAATCCTAGAGCAGCCTTGGTGTGGCGTTGAACAAGAAATCGTTGTTGTTGTACGGTCCTTGGTATCCATAGTGTGTACCCACTTTTGGTTTATTTCAGTCTGTGGTCCCGATCGAAAGCTCAAGCAGCCACGACTGTGTCTGAATTCCAAGCTTCTTGGCTATTTCCTCTTTGAAGTGCTTATATAGCCTTTGCTCTAGGTGGGGTCACAGATGGCAGGATGTTTTCCTTTCTAATGTTTATATCAAATCCCATAGGAACATCTCATTAGTCTGCTTTTTACTTGCCTGAGAAGAGTTACTTGTCTCATAAAAATGTGCATTGAGGCTGTTACTAAGTTATGACCCATCACAACTACCACTTGTCATTGGATCCAGAACTTCACATGAAGTCTTCAAAAGGAACTGTCGTCACAGTTCTAACAGCATCCATTATTAAGTAGGTGTGAGCATATTAAGTTCATTGAATCCTTGTTGACCTCTCCACCTGGCATTAAGCTTGATCAGGAATGAGTTCACCCTTCTTTTCCTTTCTTCTCTAGAAAAGGGAAACTATTAATACCTAATAATTATTGGAGAACTTAGAAATCAGTGTTTTATTTCATTCTGCCCCACTGATTTTCCCATTTTCATTGTTCAGACATTGTGAGTATGGGTTAAAATGTTAGTTTTAAATAAGACCCTTTTTAAAGGGGATTACTAGATTCCTGTTTCAGTTTGCCAGGTAGGTTTTGATTGCTAATAAGAAATTTCTTGGAAAAGAGGCTTTGGAAACCTTTTGGTTTTCCAAAGCCTACATTTTATGACATTTTTAGTGCTCAGTGTTTGCTTGTGGAATTACATTAGCTAAAAATTTGTCATGGTGTTGGCTTATGTTTGCTGTTTAAACATGATCTGTTTAAAGGCATATGTTTTTTTTTTCCTCAGGAATACTTTCTCGGCATTTTCTTAAGAAAGTTATTTGTTCCTGATCCTTTATGGAGGCTCTAGGAGAGAATAATTTCCTTGCCTTTTCCAGCTTCTAGAGGCTGCTCATTCTCCTCAGCCCATGGCCCCTTCCATCTTCAAAGCCAGCAGTGGCAGATCTTTTTCACATGGCATCACTCTGACACTAACTCTTCTGCTTCCCTCTTCCACACTTAAGGACCTTGTGATTACACTGGGCCCATGCATATCATCTAGGATAATCTTCCTATTTTAAGGTCAGCTGATTAGCGGCCTTACTTCTCCTTTGTAACGTAGCCTAACATATTTAAAGTTTGTAGGATAACGACACGAACATCTTTGGGGGCCCATTATCCTGCATATCACATAATGTAAGGAAAAAACACAGTAATTAACAATAGCACCAACAAATATAAAATACACAGGAATAAATTTAGTTGGAAAGGTACACTACATGAATAAAATATTAAAATGCATTGAAGAACAGAAAACTAGAATAAATGGACAGATATATCATGTTCTTGGACTGAAATACTGTATTCATCACTATAAAAATGTCAGTGATTCTACATTAATTTAACTTGGATTCCAATAAATTTATTGAGATCCTCCCCAAATATGATTTTTTTTCAATCAGACAAGATAATTCTGAAGTTTTATGAGAAAAAATTAATCAAATTTGAATAGCCAGGAAAACTCTAAAAAAGAAAAATCACCAAGAGATTAGTCCTTCCTATTTTAAAGCCTCAATAATTAAAATACTATAGGATTCATGCCTGAATAGTCAGACAAATGGATAGAATAGAATAAGGAGTCTAAAATAGACCTCTTTTGGATAACTGGGTGGCTCAGTTAGTTAAACGTTTGCCTTTGGCTCGGCTTATGATCCTGGAGTCCTGGGATTGAGTCCCGCATGGGGCTCCTTGCTCAGAGGGGAGCCTGCTTCTCCCTCTGCCTGCCACTCCCCCTGCTTGTGCTGTCTCTCTGACTAATAAATAAATAAAAATCTTTTAAAAAATAGACCTCCTTACAGATTGGGATTTAGTATATGATAAATGTGACACTTAAAATCAGTGGGGGAAAAGATAGACTATCATATGTAGTTTGGGGACAATTTTGTATCACTTGAGGTCAAAGGTGGGGCAGGAAATGTTGGAATCATACCTCATGCCTTATAGAAAGACAAATTACAAATTTTTTAAAGGTTTTATTTATTAGAGAGAGAGAGAGCAGGAGCAGAGGGAGGAGCAGAGGGAGAAGCAGACTCCCCATTGAGCAGGGACCCGGATGCAGGACTTGATCCCAGGACCCTGAGATCATGACCTGAGCTGAAGGCAGACCCTTAACTGACTGAGTCACACAGGCACCTGACAAATTACAAATTAATCAAAGATTCAAATGTGAAAAAATTAAATCATAACTGTACTAATATGAGACTTTTATAAATTTGAAGTCAGAAGGCCTTTCTAATAATGACCAAAGTAAAGAAGCCATAAAAACTTATAAACTTGACTACATAGAATAACTTGTACATTGGTAAAAAACACATCCTCTAAAATCAGAAGACAGATGACAAACTGGGAAAGCATATTTGCAATAACACCATAGATAATGACCAGGAAGAAAATAGAAAAGGCACTCAATTTAAAAAGTGCCTTAGACACAGAGAACCCCTCTCAAAATCAATAAAAATAGGTCAACACCCCGACATCTAATAGTAAAACTTACGAGTCTAGAGACAAAGAGAAAATCCTGAAAGCAGCTCGGGAGAAGAGATATGTAACCTACAATGGTAGAAACATTAGATTGGCAACAGACCTATCCACAGAGACCTGGCAGGCCAGAAAGGACTGGCAGGATATCTTCAGAGCACTAAACGAGAAAAATATGCAGCCAAGAATACTATATCCAGTATATTTTTCAATGACATTGAAAATAGAAGGAGAGATAAAAAGCTTCCAGGACAAACAAACACTAAAGGAATTTGCAAACACGAAACCAGCCCTCCAAGAAATATTGAAAGGGGTCCTCTAAGCAAAGAGAGAGCCTAAAAGCAGCATAGATCAGAAAGGAACACGGACAATAAACACTAAGAGTCACCTTACAGGCAATACAATGGCACTAAATTCATACCTTTCAATAGTTACTCTGAATGTAAATGGGCTAAATGCCCCAATCAAAAGACACAGGCTATCAGATTGGATTAAAAAACAAGACCCATGGATATGCTGTCTGCAAGAGACTCATTTTAGACCCAAAGACACCCCCAGATTGAAAGTGAGGGGGTGGAAAACCATTTACCATGCTAATGGACACCAAAAGAAAGCTGGGGGCGCCATCCTTATATCAGACAAATTAGATTTTATTTTATTTTTTTTTAAAGATTTTATTTATTTGAGAGAGAGAGAATGAGATAGAGAGAGAGAGAGAGCACGAGAGGGAAGAGGGTCAGAGGGAGAAGCAGACTCCCTGCTGAGCAGGGAGCCCAATGTGGGACTCGATCCTGGGACTCCAGGATCATGACCTGAGCCGAAGGCAGTCGCTTAACCAACTGAGCCACCCAGGCGCCCAGACAAATTAGATTTTAAAACAAAGACTGTAATGAGAGATGAAGAAGGACACTATATCCTACGTAAAGGGTCTATCCAACAAGAAGATCTAACAATTGTAAATATCTATGCCCCTAACATGGGAGCAGCCAATTATATAAGGCAATTAATAACAAAAACAAAGAAACACATTGACAACAATACAATAATAGTGGGGGACTTTAACACCCCCCTGACTGAAATGGACAGATCACCTAAGCAAAAGATCAACAAGGAAATAAAGACTTTAAATGACACACTGGACCAAATGGACTTCACAGACATATTCAGAACATTCCATCCCAAAGCAACGGAATACACATTCTTCTCTAGTGCCCATGGAACATTCTCCAGAATTGATCACATCCTAGGTCACAAATCAGGTCTCAACCGGTACCAAAAGATTGGGATTATTCCCTGCATATTTTCAGACCATAATGCTTTGAAACTAGAACTCAACCACAAGAGGAAAGTTGGAAAGAACTCCAATACATGGAGGCTAAAGAGCACCCTACTAAAGAATGAATGGGTCAACCAGGAAATTAAAGAAGAATTTAAAAAATTCATGGAAACCAATGAAAATGAAAACACAACTGTTCAAAATCTTTGGGATACAGCAAAGGCAGTCCTGAGAGGAAAGTATATAGCAATACAAGCCTTTCTCAAGAAAGAAGAAAGGTCTCAAATACACAACCTAACCCTACACCTAAAGGAGCTAGAGAAAAAACAGCAAATAAAGCCTAAACCCAGCAGGAGAAGAGAAATAATAAAGATCAGAGCAGAAATCAATGAACTAGAAACCAAAAGAACAGTAGAACAGATCAATGAAACTAGGAGCTGGTTCTTTGAAAGAATGAACAAGATTGATAAACCCCTGGCCAGACTGATCAAAAAGAAGAGAGAAATGACCCAAATCAACAAAATCATGAATGAAAGAGGAGAGATCACAACCAACACCAAAGAAATACAAACAATCATAAGAACATATTTTGAGCAACTCTATGCCAGCAAATTAGATAACCTGGAAGAAATGGGTGCATTCCTAGAGATGTATCAACTACGAAAAATTGAACCAGGAAGAAATAGAAAACCTGAACAGACCTATAACCACTGAGGAAATTGAAGCAGTCATCAAAAATCTCCCAAGAAACAAAAGCCCAGGGCCAGATGCCTTCCCAGGGGAATTCTATCAGACATTTAAAGAAGAATTAATACCTATTCTCCTGAAACTGTTCCAAAACCTAGAAATGGAAGGAAAACTTCCAAACTCATTTTATGAGGCCAGCATTACCTTGATCCCAAAACCAGACAAAGACGCCATCAAAAAGGAGAATTACAGACCAATATCCTTGATGAATACGGATGCAAAAATTCTCACCAAAATACTAGCCAATACGATCCAACAGTACATTAAAAGGATTATTCACCA